GAGGCCTGGATTGGTGAGCTTCTAGGGCCGTGGCCAAACATTGCACCCATGCCCAAAGCCGGCCCTACCGGGTGTCCGGCGCTGCTCAGTGCGCAAGCGCAGATCCTACCCGCTCTTCCCGCGCTGTAAGCCCGGCCTCCCGCGGCCCACAGCTTGTGCTTCCGGGTCACGTCTTGACAGCGGCTTTCCCAGCTCAACGTCACCCTGCTGTTCGGTGAGTGCGGGCCTTGGCGGGACGGTCTGCAGGCCGGTCCCCCCCCTGCACCGCGCCCACCCTTGTCCCCTCCGCCCTCTTGAGGTCCGCGAGCCTCCAGGCTGAGGGTGGGGATCGTGGCGGGGGTGGGGTGGGGGTAGGCCGGCGCCTCGGCCCAGGCGCAGCTCCTGCCCGGGTCCGTGCCGCACGCCTGCCGGGACGGCGGGGGCTCTGCGCGCCCTCCGCTCCGCCCCCACGGGCCTCCGCCCCGCGGCGCCGCCTAGGCTCTCCCCCGAGGGCCGAAGGGGAAACTGCAGGCCGCCTCCCGCTCGTCCACTGTTCACCTGGCTTTGAGGGTCTCCATAGAAAAGCAAAGAATCAAAAGCCAGGTGCCAGTGGCTCACGCCTGTCATCCTAGCTCCCCAGGAGGCTGAGAGCTGAGGATCTCGGTTCAAAGCCAGCCTGGGCAGGAAAGAGAGAGAGAGAGATTCTTCTCTCCCATGAACCACCAGAAAGACCGAAGCGGAGCTGTGGTTCAAACGGTAGCCCGCTAGCCTTGAGCACACCAGCTCAGGGACAGCGCCCAGGCCCCGAGTTCAAGCCCCAGTAGGCACAAAAATAAATAAACGAATAAATAACCCTTTGGTGTTTGCTCTACATTCTAGAAATGGGGAGTGAGGCGGGCTTTCAGCCCTTACCAAGGAAAGGACTCCCTAAGGGTCAAACCGTGTACTAGCTAACATCTAGAGAGAAGGTAGGGTTAGACTACTCTTGGACTCTTCCTGACAGTGAATATTGCCAGTCTGCTCTGAAGTTTCGTTGTTTTACCTGGGGCTTTGAGATAGCAAAGGACTCACTGGCCATCCTCTTAAGTTGGGAGTCCAAGAGCATCCTGAAAAAAGAAACGACGAGAGTAGGGTGTGGATTCATCAGATTATCATGGGACAGAAATTAGGCTCTGTCCCTTGGTCCCTTCCTTGGAATCCCGACTCATTTTTACCCCCCCCCCCCCCGCTTTTATTTGCTGCAAAGAAGTATAAGCTACAGACTCTTGTCTTTGAGGAGTTGGGTGTGAATATGCATATTCCTATACATCTATATACCTATTATTAGGAGGGGGTGCTGGGATTTGAAACCACAGCCTTAGCATGTGCTCTTTTACTGAATACATGGCTGTGTATATATGGCTATAAATATGTAATATATATATATTATATGGTGGGGGGGGAATCCTGGGGCCTGAACTTTTTTGCCCAAGGCTAGTACTCTACCACCTGAGCCACAGTTCTACTTCTAGTTTTTTTTTTTTTTTTTTTGGTGCTTCAGTGGAGCTGAGAGTCTCATGGACTTTCCTGTCTGGGCTAGCTTTGAGCCACAATCCTCAGGTCTCACGCTTTTGAGTAGCTAGGATTACAGGTGTGAGCCACTGCCTGGCTGTGTTTTTTTATTGATATATTTTATGTTTGTTTTGTTTTTTGGGTCCGGTCGTGGGACCTGAACTCTGGGCCTGGGTGCTGTCCCTCAGCAATTCAGCTCAAGGCTAGCACTCTACCACTTGAGCCACAGCACTACTACCGGCTTTTTTCTTTTTGCTTATGTGGTGCTGAGGAATCAAACCCAGGGCTTCATGGATACAAGGCAAGCACTCTACCACTGAGCCACCTTCCTAGCCCTATTGATATATTTTAAACAGATACAAATGGCTACTGATTAGCAAATAAAGAAACTAGTAGACATTATAAAACATTGTACAATGTGTGAAGGGATAGATTTCAAAAATGATGTTATAAAATGACCAAAATAATACACATAATATGCCTAATTGTTGCAAATCTCACACTTATTAGGAACTAATGTGATAAGCTTTACATTGGTTCAACAAATATTGAGAACCTACCATGTGCCAGGAACTACAGGGAGAAAAAAATAAATGTCACTATCTTTATTCCTAAGGAACTTGTATTTTAACTAGAGCCCAGATTTTTAATTTTATTTATTTATTTATTTTAATTGCCTGCCTTGGGGCTTGAACTCAGGGCCTGGGCACTGTCCTTGGGCTTCTTTTGCTCAAGGCTAGCCCTCTATCACTTGAGCCACAGTGCCGCCTCCAGCTTTTTCTGTTTATGTGGCACTAAAGAATTGAACCCAGGGTTTCATGCATGTTAAGCTAGAACTTAACCACATTCCCAACCCCAAGAGCCCATGTTTTTACACCTAAAGAGTTGGTACACTGTAATAATATATACAGGCAGGCGTGAGCCACCTGCATCCAGCTATTTACAGCTTTGATAGGTACAGTTTCATTAAAAATGTACCATTGTAATTGGCTACAATTTTACATGTTCCCTAGCATATCTTATTGTCAAAATATAATTGATGTATCCTACAATTTCCATCGTAGTTTCAACATAAATGTGCTGCAATATATTTCTCAGCTGTCATGAATAGCCAATTTAAATTTTTAATAAATTTTAAATATACTTGTTTTTCTACAACTGGAACATGTTTTACTGGTGTGAACTTTGATTTGTTTTTCAGATTTTATATATAGATGACTCCAAAGTATAGTTTTTATTCTTTTTAAATTTTATGTTATCTCACATATTTCTCTTTTTTCTCCTTGACTGACGCATTTAAAAACATATCACAGGTGCCTTACCCTTATTAAGAGGTTGTGGGGCCTGAATTCTGGGCCTGGGCGCTGTCCCTCAGCTCTTCAGCTCAAGAATAGCGCTCTACCACTTGAGCCACAGCGCCACTTCCGGCTTTTTTCTTTTTGCTTATGTAGTGCTGAGGAATTGAACCCAGGGCCTCAGGCATGCAAGGCAAGCGCTCTACCACTGAGCCACCTTCCCAGCCCATGTACTTATTAAATATCTGTATTTTGGGAGATTCTGTGTCTGGCCTTACTTACCTGGGCAAAATAATAAAGAACAAAGTCCTTGCCTTCTAGTTGATTATAGTGTAGATGGAGACACACTATGTACACAGCTATACTGCAAGGTAATGTGTATCACATACATGTGGATGCTGTTAATAAGTAACAGAAGTTCTGAAGAGGAAAACAATGTTTATGGAATCTTCAAGCCTTCAAAAATATTTCCATTTTACTAGTCTTGGTTGCAAACCCAAAGAATTTCACGGAAATCTTAGCATTGAACTTCTAGGGAAGTCTTGTGCGCCTAGAGAGTAGAATAGAGGGCTACATGCAGGTTTACTCAGGCCTCCAGCAACCCTATGATAATGAAAGGTGGTATTAATGAACCACTGATCTCCTTGACTTGTGCTTTCAGTGGTGGGAAACCTCAGAAAACACTTAACCCTAAGGACAGGCGTGCTCAGTGATATTTTGTATATGCCTAAAACTTCTTTGTTTCAGGCAGTTTGGAGCATGTAAACACACTCTGAGCCTTGATGAGTTCCAGTATGTGGTATATTATGCAGAGCATTCAGAGCAAATACTCTCTCTCAGAACGCTTGATCCGAACAATTGCTGCCATCCGTTCCTTCCCACATGATAACGTAGAGGACCTCATCAGAGGGGTAAGTGTGCTGCTGCTGATGCAATTGCTCTGTGAAGAAGTGGGAGGGGAACATTTCTGGTCAATTGGAAGAGATTACAGGCTTGCAACTTGGAATTAGATCACAAGAAGTTCTTCCAGTCTTTTACATGACTTCTTTTTTGTTTTTTGGGTCCAGTCATGGGGCCTGAACTCTGGGCCTGGGCGCTGTCCTCAGCTCTTCAGCTCAAGGCTAGCGCTCTACCACTTGAGCCACAGCACCACTTCCGGCTTTTTTTTCTTTTTGCTTATGTAGTGCTGAGGAATCGAACCCAGGGCCTCAGGCATGCAAGGCAAGCACTCTACCACAGAGCCAACTTCCCAGCCTCTTCCAGTTTTTTAAAATGTATTCAGTTGATATTAAAATATATTTCCCTCAATATTTTGCTTTGCTCACTTTTTTGTGTATTGTGAAATATGTTGTAGATAACCCTAGCTTCATGCTCTTGCTAAAAAAACACAAAACAAAAAAGCTCTGAATATGGTACATGAGGAAGCTATCAAGCTCTCCATCTTCCATACATGTTTTGCTAAGAGTGGTCGGAAATGAGAATAGAGGTGTTTTCAAATCTTTATAAGCTTTTCTCCACATCTAGATTACAGTGATTACTTGAAGAGATGACATGATTACTTCCCTTCTATCTTAACAGCTGCCAGTTATAGATCTGCTTAGTAACTAAAATACTTTGATCTGATATATCCCTAACCACTTCTGTTCAATGGTTACATGACTGAAATACTAGATGGTAGTTGATTACCTATTTTGTATATTTTTCCCTGTAGAAGATAAGCTAGGATCCTCCTTTATAGCCTGGGGTGGGGTAATGGCTTCCAAGTTATGCTGCACAGCTGCAGAAGGAAGGTCTTAGCTTGTTCCCGTTAAAAATGGGATCAAGAAGACTCAGCAGTAGGAACTTTGTCAGTTCTAATTCTAGCTCTGCTGCTGAGTCACTCAATGACTTTGGTCTGACTGGCATCTCCATCACCTTCTTCAGATTAGGAATCGAAACACCAGATTTGGACTATGTGGCAGAGCATGCCAGGACTGAGGGGCTACCTTAAAAGGATTTATAAGGAAATATGAAGATGGCCATACTGTTAGTAAGGGTCATTCGTTGAATGGCAAAAAGAATGTGCCGGGTCTGGCCTCAGTCTGGCATTATCACACTTTGCTTTCAGAGCAGGGTGTCTATAGAAAGCAGATGGCTGGTCCAGCTCTCTTGCCTATGATAAAGGATTCCCTCAGCATTTACACATAAGGTTATGTCCTCAGAATGCCCAAGGGTGGTGTTGGAGGCATGGCTCAATTGGTAGAGCGCTAGCCAATGAGCAAAAGTGTCAGGTACCAAGTTTGAATTCTGATCATGAACCTCAAAACAGAAAGAAAACAAAAATCAAAGAAAAGAATGTCCAAGTGGTCATTTTAGCATACTACCTTGTGGTGAAATGTAATCACTTGATCTGAGGAACTGACAGTGTTTTCCTTCCTCTTTTGTGTAAGTCCTTGATTTGGACGTGGACATTACAATATTGTTTACCTAGTAGAAATGGAAACTAGGAACCAGTAGTTTGTGTATACTATTGTCAAGATTAGTACTCTCTTCCCTCAGACTCAGTTCTGAGTCTTAGGTGACTGTGTGAGCCAGAGCTGATCACAAACTGAATTTCCTCTTTGCCACAGGGAGCAGATGTGAACTGTACCCACGGCACCCTGAAGCCCCTTCACTGCGCCTGTATGGTGTCAGATGCTGACTGTGTGGAGTTACTCCTGGAAAAAGGAGCTGAGGTAACTACTGTTTTCAACAATTTGCTATTATTGACTTGCTAGAATTTGAGTTTCACAATTTCTTTGAATTTCTCCTCCTATCCTCCAGATTGACCTTCTAATTGATACTTACCATCAACATAGCCAATATTAAGGAAATGTCTAACCATGAATCCCTAAAGTGATCCTACAGACTTCATTCCTTTGCCTTTCTTTCTTCTTCATTTAAGCTGTCCATGTCTCCCAGAAGGAGCTTTATGTCTTTCTTCCCAGCTCATTTCCTAAGGGCTGTTTATATTTCCACTGAATCGTCTTTGCTTAGGGACTGTCAGGTGCTGGAAGCACAGAGACCCTTCAACTCTGGTTAAATCTAAACCACTAGAGACCATCTATCACACAGAATTTAATGAGGCAATCCCTTCCTTGGGATTGGGCTACTTGTATTTTTTTTTTGCTCACAAATTGTTTTTCGTTCACTTGTTTTTGCTTTCCTTCTAATGTATCTTAAGACAAAAACCAAAAATTAATTTTTGAAAGTCGATCCTTGGCATTGGCATGAAGCAGCATTGTGTAATAAATAGCTGAAAGAAAAGACTCTGGAGTGAGACTTTATGGTTTAAGATTCCACCTCAGTAACTTGGTGTTACCTTAAACAAAACCCTTAAATTCTTCCTTGCCTCACCTTCCCCATCTATAAAAAGGGAATGATCATGGTATCTTATGCCATAAGGTTATAAAGTGAGGAAAATCAGTATGGGGTATTTGCTAAGTAAGTACATATTAATTTATTCAACTAGCACTCTTGATTATTTGTGAACAGTCTTGAGGATGCATATGCTGAGATATTATTTTGAATCAGGATGAAGCCTGTATGCAGTTCCAAACACACTGGATAGTAAACCTGAGATAGAGCCCCTCATCCTGTGTCTATCAAGTCCAGCTGTTCTCTAACTTGCCATTAGCAATTCCAACTCCCAGGATTAAACTTCTTTGTGAGTGGCCTGAGTGAAAACCAATTATACCGTGAAGTGATCAAAGTGAAAATATCCAGGGGGAAAATGAAGCTTAGCCAAACTAAAAAGTTAAACTTATTTAAATGGTTTAATTTTTATCTCATTTTATGAGAGGAGATATGCCGTTTATTAAACTTGAGAATTTGAAAAAAAATGATACACACTTGAAAAGCTGCCTTTTCAAGTACTGGAAGATTTGTGCTCTTCCCTCCACATGCTTTTCATCTCTTATGAACTCACTGCATGTTTTGCAAAGAGCTTAATGTCACATTTCGAGTGCTCTATAGGATTAGAGAACATAGCAAAACTATTCAGGCTGAGCCTTGACCTCTTTATTCATTCTGGTTTCCATTAGCTACAGGATACAAAAAGAGTCAGGACAACAAGCAGTTCTCCAGAGGGATTTTCTGCAAACAAAGCAGTGTTAAGGACTCTAACGTCACTTTCCCTTGCCTTATTCTGTATTCTGTGGTAGAGTCTAGTGAATAGAGACATGAACATTACAGCAAAACCCTAAATAAGGCCAGGCCAGCTAGTTAATGCACAGAATAGTGTCAATTATCCTGGGATAGTTCCTTTCATATTTGCACCTAAGTTCCTGTCATACCTCCATCTTGATCACTTAAGGCCCCCTGGGAATTGTTTGTTGAACCTCTTGCTCCGAACACTGCACAGCAAAAGTAATGGGTAAATATATGGAGGATTCTTCGCTGCACTTCTTTCTTTCAGTTGTCTGTCCACTGTAATATAGTTCGTCCCCCTTTTACAGGTGAATGCCCTGGATGGTTACAACCGAACAGCACTGCACTATGCAGCAGAGAAAGATGAGGCGTGTGTGGAGGTCCTGTTAGAGTATGGTGCAAATCCCAATGCTCTGGATGGCAACCGAGACACCCCACTTCACTGGGCAGCCTTTAAGAACAATGCTGAGTGCGTGCGGGCTCTCCTGGAGAGTGGGGCTTCTGTCAATGCCCTGGATTACAACAATGATACACCACTCAGCTGGGCTGCTATGAAGGGGAATCTTGAAAGTGTCAGCATCCTTCTTGATTATGGTGCAGAGGTCAAGGTCATCAACCTAAAAGGCCAGACACCCATCTCCCGCCTAGTCGCTCTGCTAGTCAGGGGACTTGGAACAGAGAAAGAGGACTCCTGCTTTGAGCTCCTCCACAGAGCTGTTGGACACTTTGAATTAAGGAAAAATGGCACCATGCCACGAGAGGTGGCCAAAGACCAACAGCTATGTGAAAAACTGACTGTGCTCTGCTCCGCCCCAGGAACACTAAAAACACTGTCTCGCTATGCTGTGCGCCACAGCCTGGGCCTCCAGTATCTGCCAGATGCAGTGAAAGGCCTTCCACTGCCAGCTTCTTTGAAAGAATACCTGCTGCTTGTAGAATAGCCTGGAGATCCCTGAATCATCACACAGGCAACTCTGGGTGAGGTTTTCCCTGCAATACTATCTCTCAATCATGGAACACAGAAAAGAACTTGTTCCTGTTATGTGGTTTAAACATTTCAAAGCAACATGTCACAGCAGTAACTTCCACATAACCTCCCCTCCCCACGCTAAGCAACCAAACCTCCCCAAAAAACCCACAAAAATGCGTCACTTTTCTTTGCTGTTTATTGCTTACTTGGCGTTTTATACTGCAAAAGAAGAGGTCTCCCCAACACCTGCCCCTTTAGGGAGAGTCAACCACGCAACTAAAATTTCTCTAGGAAGATGGCAAGTAAGGTGTGTGTGTGATTTTCCTTTGGGGATAGGATTTAATAGTACAGAAGAATCCTTCTAGAAAGCTTTTTAGTTGATTTGTGAAAAAGATTTAAGAAAAATCACAGTTCCAGCTAAGCAACAATTGGCATGCTGGGATGAAGATACTCCTGCCTGCAAGGGTATCATAGATTGTGAATTGAGCATTTGGAAGGGACTGTCCCCTTACCCAAGGAAACAACAGGCTTTGCCTTTCTTCATAAATGTGCCCAGGGATTATTTCAGATACCTTGCTGTTCCCACACTGAGGAGAGAGCAGGTTCGAAGCAATCCTAAGAAGTCCTGAAAGTCCTGAACTATTTTGATGTGGTTCTTTCACTAATGAGCTCAGGAGGCGTTTCCTGTGCTTTCGACAAAGGTGTCTTTGCCTTAGTCAGGAGAATGAGATGGGATGCTTAAACCCCATGGGTCTTCTCCATTCTCTGTAGAAAGCTTGCTCTACTAAGAGATAGTGTTTATTGTATTGGAATCTTTGCCTTTCATTGTTCTTTGGAAGTGGAGTTGAGGGAATGGGGAAAGAATATAAAAGAGCTACTTTGGAGATGGACCTCCTGCCCAAAAAAGATCAGATTCAGTGAACAATAACTTATCTACAATACTCTTGCTTTTCATGTTCTGAAATTAGATCAAGTTAAATTTTTTTTGTAAATGGTCTGTATGCATATTTGAAAATCCGTTTTCAAAAACTGGTTGGGAATTACAAAATGGAGTTTGTTACCAGCTAACTTGAAAATGTCTTCCTTTGTCCTTTTGCTGTTAATGGAGCTTTTTGTTTTTTGCCCATTAAAAGAAGAAATAAATAGTTCTAGAGGCAAGTTTGATCATTTCTGTTTGTGCATTTCCTCCTCCTCCCATTTATGAAAAGTTATTTACTACCTGGTTTTTCAGTCTATCTTTCTTTCTTTTTTTTGGGGGGGGGGAGGGTCCAGTTGTGGGGCCTGAATTCTGGGCCTGGGCGCTGTCCTTCAGCTCTTCAGCTCAAGGCTAGTGCTCTACCACTTGAGCCACAGCGCCACTTCCGGCTTTTTTTCTTTTTGCTTATGTGGTGCTGAGGAATTGAACCCAGAGCCTCATGCATGCAAGGCAAGTGCTCTACCACTGAGCCACCTTCCCAGCCCTTCAGTCTATCTTTCTAACCCAACCTTTCCCATCATGATTGTGGGCATAGGGTGCTAGAGAGCTTGGGCACTGTGTTTAAAAAAGCTTCCCCTTTATATCTACCCTTACCCTGAGTTTAGAATTATTGCCACAGCTCAGTACTTACCTAAGGCATAAGGCCCTGGACTTGAATCCCCCTCACCTAAATCGGTTTGAAGCCAGCTCAAAAAGCCTGGCAGGAAAGTCCATGATGCTCTTATCTCTAATTAATCACCAAAAAGCCAGAAGTGGAGCTATGGCTCAAGTGGTAGACTTACAACTTTAAGCTCAGGGACAGTATTCAAGTCTTGAGTGCAAGCCCTAGGACTGGCAAGTGCACACGCGTGTGTGCGCACGTGTGCGCACACACACTCTACCTGCACATTAAATCACCAAGGAAACTAAAAACATTGGTGCCAAGATTTCACCTAATACCAATTGTTGAGAATTTCTTGTGGGTAGGACTGGGCTATTAAGTTCCTTCAAATGTTCCAAGGTGTGGTCAGGAATGAGATCCTAGCTATCAGGTACCTAGGAAAATTTTCAACATACTAAGGCCCCAAACCAATTTAGTTTAAAACCTAATACTAATTGTTTAGAATTTCTTGGCTTATTAAGTTCCCTTCAGATTTTGGTGGCTACTTGAGTAAAAACCCAGATTTTACTGCCTGAGTTGGTTTCTAATTGATCCTCAACCTCTGAGTAGCTAGTATTATAGGCATGAGCTATTGGTGCCCAGCATAGAGAAATTTTTAAATACTAAGACCTATGTTCCACCTCCTAAAACTGATTTAGTCAGTCTAAAATAAGACAGGGTATTGGTATTTTTAATGGCGCCCAAGATGATTCTTTTGTGATATACACTACATTATAAACTGCTTTTCATGCTACTCTTTCTTCTTATATAGCCTGTTTATATTCTAAAAGGGGCAAATATTTTGTACATGTGGGAAAAGTATTCTGTATCTTAACTCATAATCATTCATAGAGTGGATGGCTAGTAAATTCCGCTTCCACTCCACAGAACACAATTTCACCTATCTTTTGAGTTCTAGGGAAATGACATGTACTTAATAGGATTTTTCATTTTTGAATGGTCTTCACTTTTTTTTCTTAGATCACTTTAAATTCTTAGAATATTTAAAACTAGTCTACTCTTTAGCAAGGAACATTTTTCTTCTGCAAATAACTTTCCACATGCTCATCCCTTCCTCCTTCACCATTTTTTCAAAGAAATAATTCTAGGAAATTCAAGATAGGAAAGAAAATCTATAAATTAATAGCAGGTAGCATTTACAATGTTCTAGATGACTTCTTGAGCTTTTCCTTCTCATTATCATAGCTTTCATGGATTTTAGGATTTAAACAGCCTGATGAAGAAGAAGCATAAGAAATGAGGATAGACCAGGTGCTGGTGGCTCATGTCTGTAATGTACCTAGGAAGCTGAGCTCTGAGGATCATGACTCAAAGCCAGCCCAGGTGGCAAAGTCCATCAAACTCTTATCTCCAGTGAACCAGCAAAAAAACTGGAAGTTGAGCTGTGGCTCAAGTGGTAGAGGACTAGTTTTGATCAAAAGAAGCTTAGGGACAGCGTGCAGGCCCTGAGTTTAAGTCTCAGGACTGGCACAAAAAAAGAAATGGGATGGGCGATAAACCATTTTTGACTCCTAAATTTGTTTGATTGTAAGACCTAGGAAACACTACGTAATCATCCTGAGCCAGTGTCCTCTTGGAAGAGAGCTGTCACCACTCCCGTCATAAAACTATTTTTAGGATTCAGTGATAACAGGGAAAATATCTTAACAGCATTTTGTATTTATTATTGGTTTCTTTTCCCCTTAGAACTTCAGAGCATTTGATGGTGTTAGTTTTTTACTCTGACCACAAACTTTCTCAGTTACTATTTAGAACTGCTCTAAGGATATCACAGTAGTAACTTCGGACAACCAACAAAAGTAATCTACTAGAGAAAAACCTCTACTTTTTTCCTGTTTTATCACACAAGGGAGGAAATGGTATGTGTTCTCTGTGTGTGTGTTTGTGTGTGTGTGCGCACGTGCACATGCACATACATGTGTGCTGAGAGCCACAATCTGGTGAATTGTAAGCTAATCTTAATTAGCATGAAATTTATGACACCCAGCTGAGCCCAAGGGCCCCTTACTGTTATCCCAGTTATGCAGGAGGCTAAGATTGAGAGGATCATGGTTCTAGGTGAGTTCAGGACAAAAACATTTTTAAGTTGATGAGGTTCTATCTCAACAGAAAAGGCTGGGTATAGAAGTACATATCTGGCAACCCAGCTACAATGCGAAGTATAAATAGGGGGATCACAGTCCAGGCCATCCTAGGAAAAATGTAAGACCCTATCTAAAAAAATAGCAAGAGCAAAGAGTGCAGGAAGCATGGCTCAAGCAAGGGAATACTTGCCAAGCAAGTGCAGACCCCTGAATTCAAATCCCAGTACCACACCCCCATATTCACATACCCACATACAAAAAGAAAAAAAAACCCAAACAACAATAACAAAACCGGACACCCTCTTTCAACATAGAGTGTAATCTATAGTCCCAATCTCAGTACCAATTGCATTACATGGGCACTTGAGTAATGAGGAGGATGAAACCATTGTTATGAAATAGAAGACAAATTGCAGTTGAATAAGACCTGACACCATTCCAAAAACTCATAATCCAACCAACCCACCAAAGCAAGGCCAATACTGGAAGGCTCTATTTTTCCAGGCTTCCAAAATGTATATGGCCTTCCCACAAAGGTTCTGCCCAATGACATCTAGCTTTCATCCAGGAAATAGTATAGGTAGAAAGCTGAGAAGAAAGAATACTGGGTTAAGAGGAGTAGAGTGCTGGATGGCTAGAAAAGAAGCAACCCTGGGTAATGGATGTAAAATCAAGAGATGAAACACAATTTTATGCTTAGGGAGACTGGGAACATCTCTTAGCTGCAAAGAATGCCAGAGGGATTAATACAGGATAATACTAAGGGTCAATACTGTGTTCCGGGCTATTGTGTCACTAGCCAAGAGATGCTCAAGAAAAATAATCGAATAGGTAGAGAGGATTGCACATGATGCTCACGTGGGCTGTTTTCTCCCAGGGATTCTGTCTGGGCAGGTCTGGTGCTCAGAGCTGATGGTAGGTAGTGTCACATCAGACTGGTAAAGTTAACAGGAGGACCAAAGCACAGTGACCAGTTGGTTTTTATTAGTGTAATGGTAGTTTGTCACTGTAATAAAAGTAGTAGAGGAACTAGGACTCTGTTATCACAAAGAAATAAATAAAGCTTATTTTTAGGAAAACTCTAACGGTAGTAACTGAAATCTAGCAATAGCACTTGGAGGAACGTAGCCTGTGTGACAAGTGAAGCTGGGGTAGAAGTAATGGTAAATTCTACTTAGAAGGAGATTCTACTCTTTGTCTCCTCCCCCAGTTCCTGGCCAGAGCTGATCATGATGGCAGATACAGAATAAAAGGAAACCTAATGAAAACAGCTAAAACACTGAAAAATCATGGCCTTAGATCTACCAGGCAGTGAGCTGACCATGATCAGGTAATCTGTTCCTCTCATTCCAAAGAAATCTAGACAGTTGCCTCTCCAGATCGCTTCCGAGAAATGTGCTCCAGGTGGGCGTGCTCTGAGGTGTCCAATTCGATCTCATACTTGGCTAGGATTTTGAGGATGGGCCTCAGCTTCAGCCACCACTGTTCCTTGGGGATTCGGTGACTGTAAAAGAATGAGATAGATGATTATGTGGTCTTATAATAGGATCCCACTGGATTTCTACCAAAGCCTCATGGGAAGAAGGAAGGTGGGCAAAAAAGACTGGATTTAGGTCATGGGAGTCAAATGTGAAGTGCAAAAGCCAATAGGTGTTACTCCTAAAAAAAAAGTATTGAAGGCAGTGAGCACATTGCGGAGGGGTTGGGGAGAGTAAAGTAGCAGGGAAAGGACCGCTGTCAATGGTAGATTACTCACTCAAAGTCGGTCTGGTCCTTCAGCTCAGTCACTGGTTGAAAGACCAAGGCTCTCTTACGCATCCCCAGAACACAGCCTGAGTCAGGAGAATTGGCAAAGATCCGCCCTGGAAGAAGGGATGGTCAGTGAGCTCCTATATCAGATGGCCAGCCTATACAGAAGGAGTACACCGTCTTACCCCACCTACCATTACGGTAACTCTCTTTGATTTTCCCAAACATCCAGTTCATAGCCTTAGCTCCCATCTTGGTAGCAAAATTCCTGTCAAAGGGAGTTGGGCTTCCACCCTGGAAAAAGGGCAAATCATAAAAAAGGTTAAGGAAAAAAACAGGAAAGGACTTCAGTGAAGTAGCAGAGACATCTAGCTACACAGAAAAAGAAAAAAAAAGGAAAGAACAGGCCTAGGTTTATAGGAATCCCCAAATTTAACATGAAAGGTTAAACTGAGAGGGTTCGGAGAACCAAGGTGAGCTGGCCATTTGCCAAACGTGAGAGCAATTAGTTAAAGGAGATGATTAATTCCACACTCTCCTTTTTAACTCTGCAGTTGTCAGATCCTATTTCAGTCTTATTACTACCAGGTTTGTCTTTAGCCTAGAAACTTTTGTCTGTTACTATCATAGAAGACATGTTTTCTGCACCTCAGTCTAACTCCTCTTGGTAAAA